ATAATGGCTATTTAAGTTTTTAATGGACACAAATAATTATTTACAGGGTATAGTGAGTTTTGGGGCATGAATGTACAGTTGCCAGGTTAGGATAAATGGATGGACTACCACCCTATCTATTTTGCCACAATTTTATCTTTTTAGGAACAGAAAGGGTTTGTTCTTGATTAGTAATCTGTAGTTTTCCTTGACACTCTGTATCTTTGTCTTCTCATCTATAAAGTGGCTGTGACAGGCTTCTTATATGGCTGGGATCACAGGCCTCTGGGTATGTCCTGCCATTTTTCCAGGGAATGAAGAGCTAGCACCACCCAAGGCTTTGCATGAATACTTGCTGTGTGTTGAGGGTGGGAGATCAGGCAGTTATCTCCATAGAAACTTACAGAAGTGGTACTTAAAAACCGGAGGTCTAAAGCCAGGCGGTAGTGGTGGCACACGCCTTTAGTCCCCACACTTGGGAGGCAGAGGCAGGTGGATCTTTAAGTTCAAGGCCAGGCAGGGGTATGCAGAGAAACCGCATCAAGAAGGTGACCATTTCCTAGAACCCTGACAAGTTTAGCACCCACAACTCTTAAGAGAAAGCTCTGGAGGTCTCAACCCCCCAAACAACAGCGAGGATGCCTGGACACAGTGTGATTGATTAATCTAGGCCCATGTAACAGAAGTGCCTCCTGCCAATTCAACAGATAGGGCTCCAGGTTTTTTTTTTTTTTTTTTTTTTTTTACTTGCCCTAGGTCCCTCAACATCTCTTGCCTGTGGGATTCCTCACAATAAATGAGGTGGAAGAACTGGACAGGCCTGACAGAGCGTGGGTCTGATTCCTGCATAGATGGGGAGGCAAGCAGATTTCTGCTGCTTCTGACCAGGCAGGGAAGGCTTCTCAGGGAGATGTAACAGGTTCCTCCTCTCCTGCACCCTTCAGGAGGCCACCCCATCAGGGGCAACCTAGAGTACCCTCTCAGGCGGTGCTAACTCCACACAAGTCTTTGGGTCAGCTCTGAGAGTGCACACAGGGCCAAGGCTAGCGTAGGGGCACGGTACCTATCTGACACTTGGTCTGCGCCTCTTTCCGCTCTGGCTACTTGTCAGTGATATCATTATCTTCAGTGCCCAGGGCCAGCTGGAATATACCTCTGAGAGGAACATCACACCCCCTCAGTGCTGACACGACCTTCCCACTCTGACCTTGGCGCTCTAGAACGCTTACTGTCCTCAACCCCCGCATCCGAGGAATGGGCAGGAATTCCGCAGGAAGGCGCGC